TGTGCCTGGCTTAGGCAAGCATTCTTAACCTGGGCTCTGATTGTACCTTCTGAAATTGCATGTACAATTCAGATTCTGCATGGGTTTCTGCTTCCTTCTCCAGCAGACTCATAATGTTCATCTGATTTTTACTAGGGTCTGTGACCTAAAAGAACTACTATGTGTAACCACTCACCTGTCAGGACACTTCATCTATCTCACACTAGGCCTTTCTCTTGGATATCAATTACTAACCTTTTGCCTTTAGCCACACTGTTATTATCATTTGCCTATTGGACATCATCTACAAGTTGTGTGAATTTTTTCAATGACAGCCCCATCGCAGGAATTAGGGCAAATTCCGATTACAGTTCTTTCCATTAAGCTCCAGTGGAATAGAGTTATATTGGTTATAAGTCATGAAGAAAAATGAAGAAGCAGGGGTGACTTATAAGAACTTAGTTTTGAACAGTTGGGTGACTGATGGGGAAGATTTAAAGATACTGTTTGGGAATATTTGAAACACCTATTAAGCAGTCAAGTGACAAAGTGAAGTAGGCATTAGATATATGGGTTTGGAATTCAGGAGTGAGGTCAGAGCTAGAGATAAGAATTTGGGAGTCGGGAACATATGGACTGTACTTAAAACCACTATGGTTGGATGAATAATGATCCCCCAAATATGTCTATGTCCCAATTCTTGGAACCTATACATATGGCAAAAGGAACTTTGAAAATGTGATTAAGGATCTTGAGACGTAGAGATTATTCTGGATATCTGAGTGGACCCCATATAGTCACAACTATCCTTAGAAGAGGGAGGTCAGAGGAGCTAGAGTGAAGGTGACAGAAGCAGAGACTGGAGTGATGCACTTGGTGGAGGAAGGGGTCACAGGTAGCCACTTGAAGCTGAAAAAGACAAGGAAATGGATTCTCTATTCAGAACTTCCATAAGGAATCAGCACTGCTGGAACCCATGACTTTGGTCCAGTGAGACCCATTTTGGGCTTCTGACCTCCAGAAATATGAGAGAATAAATTTGCATTTTTTTAAACCACTAAGTTTCTGGCAATTTGCTACGGCAGCAATAGGAAACTAATACAGCCGTTGACTTAGATAAGATCCTAGGAAAAGTGTGGATAAAGAAGAGAAGTGGGCCCAAGACTGAGTCCTAGAGCATTCCAAAATGGAAGGGCGAAGCCCAGAAATGTAAGCCAGTGAGGAGTACCAACATCTTAGGCGAAAACTAAGTATGGTATCATGGAAACCAAAGAAAGAGTTTCCAAGGCAAGAAGAGTGGGCAACTGTGCTGAAATCTTCTGAGAAGCAAATTTAGATGAGGGTAAAGAAATGGCCATTGCGTTTGGCAAGACAGATTGTTTGACCTTATGAGGAGCAGGTCGTATGCAGTGTAGACTTAGGAAGTTTAAGATGAAATGTAGAGAGAATAGAAGATGAGGAGGTGAAAATCCTGAGGCCAGACAACTTGTTTGAGTGGTTTCCTTGAGAAGAAGAGTGGAGAAATGAAGGAGGCTTTGCAGCCAGGAGAGTTTTGTGTTTAGTTTGCTTTTAAAATGAGAGATAGTAATGTACATTTGTATGCTAAAGGGAAAGACTCAATCAAGAAGGAAAAACATGGTGCAACATAGAAAGTAAATAACTGCAGGAATCTTTGATGAGGAAAGAGAGGCTTACTTATTCTGGCCTTTAATAGGAGCAGACCCATTTTCCTCTATTACAGAAGAAAGGCAGAGAGTATGGGTAGGAATGAAGGCAGGTTGATAGATCTGGTAACACAGTTTCTGATTGCTTATATTTCTAATCAAAGTAGGTGGAGAGTAAATAAGTATGAAGTAAGCAAAGGGTTGGAATAGGCAGGATTGGGGTTTTGCCTGTCAAGAATGAGAGAGGGGCAGGGATGCTATGGGTATTTGCAAGAGACTGTTAGGATAATGGACTATGGGAGTTAAGCAGTGAAAGGAGGGAAGAGAGAACATGAAGGGGATAATGGATAATAATAATATAATGGCAAACACTGTGTGGTGACTACTGGGTGCTAGGCACTGTTTTAGCTTATTACTTACTTATAATAGCATGTAATCTTACAACTTCATTGGAGAGTGAAAAATGTTATGGCTAGTGATTACAAGTTTCCCAGGAGGCAAAAGAACCATGGGGGTGGGACTCTTTGAACAAATGCATGTATAGTTTAGGGAGACGGACAGATTTCGGTGTATATGGCTTCTGTCACCTGTCATAACTCTGTGACTACAGGAAAGGCACTTTGCCTCTCTGACTCTCTCTGGCACAAGTCATAACAACCTCCCCCTTCATTTTTTTTTTTTTAACTAGTTGTGTTTTTGTTACCTGAAACCAAGGGTCCTGGCAATTAAAAAACATAACTGCAGTTATACAATTATGAGGCTAGATTGCTGAGTACGTGGCTTACTGTGAATTTCTACAATTTCTAGCTCCAATCTCTTTTCCCTTTCATCAGTGACACCTAAGGGCAGTAGATGTCTCTTGTATTATTCCAGGAGCCTGACCCTGTGCTAAGCACAGTAGAGACGTGCTCTGAGAATATAATAGTTCTTCATCATAGAAAGATTAAAACTCAAGCTCCAAAATAAGACTCTCCACACCTTTCTTTCTTTTCTTTTTCTTTGTGTGTGTGTGTGTGTGTGTGTGTGTGTGTGTGTGTGTGTGTGTGTGTTGCGGGTCTTACTCTGTCACCCAGCCTAGACTGCAGTAGCACCATCATGCCTCATTGCAATCTTGACCTCCGGGGCTCAGGCAATCTTCCACCCCAGTTTCCCAAGTATAAAAACTACAGATGTGTGCCAACATACCTGGCTAGTTTTTTGATTTTTTTGTAGAGACAAGGTCTTGCTATGTTTCCTAGGTTGGTCTTGAACTCCTGGGCTCAAGTAATTCTCTCACCTTGGCCTCCAAAGTGCTGGGATTATAGGTGTGAGCCACCATGCCTGGAACCACACCTTTCTTAACATGCCACCTGCCCATATTTCCAGCTCAACCTCCTGACCTTCCTCTGTCTTCAAACTTTGCCTTCCATCTACTAGTGGTTCCCAGAAGAGACTAGGTATTCTCCAATATCTAACCCCTTGCACATGCTGTTTCCTCAGTCTGAATATACCACTCCCAAACACTGGATGAGCACTTTCTGTTCCAGAAAACCTTCCCTGACCGACCAGTCAGACACAGGCAAGGGTCTCTTGTTTTCACTATACTTCATAGTATACTTCCATTCTGGCAGCTGCCACACTGTAATTGATGGTTTCTTTGAGTGCTTGTGCCCCATGTGGATGATGTGGCAGGAGTAGAGTACATCCCTTTCTACCAAGAACAAGGTACATCAGCCCATGGTCCATATTCAGGTTTTGTAATGTCTTTACCTTTCTCTGCTATAAGCATCACTAGGCTGCTCTAGCTGTACTGAATTGCTTTCACTTCCCTAACAACCATGCTAGACCTGCCTCCAGGCAATTCAGTCACTCCCTCGCCCCAGGCTTTATAGGAATTCCCAGCACTCTTCAAACTCATGTAACTAAATCATTCCTGCTCACCCTTCAAGACTCTGTCTAGACTATACCTTCTCTGGGCAGCTTTTCCTGCAGAATGCACTCTACCACAGGTCAAGTTAGGTACTTATCTGTGACCTCAACCCCGTGTGTCCCCCATCACAACTCTTGCTATTACCACTGCCCTGCTATGACCTGGTTCTCAGGGATCAGTGAGATTCTTGAGAATTGAGAGGTCTGTGTTCAAATGTGTGTTCTCACTGCCTGCCACTGAGTAGTTATTAAATGTTTCTTGAATAGATGACAAAATATTCTGGCTCTTTGGAATTGAGGGCAGATTCAGGGTTGTGGTGACCTACCCAGGTTCTAATTCCTATAAAGCCTGGGGAGGGGACAGACAGTGCCACCTTCTTCATAATTTTAAAGGAAGGTATCTGGCTCATAACTGCAATTGCCACCAGTACTTAGAATACTTATCACCTTAAAATACGTCATATTTGTAAGTTTCACAACAATCACCCAAGGTTAGTGTTGTGCCCCATTTAATAGATGGGGAACCTGATACTCAGAGAAGTGGAATGCCTGCTGTAGGTCCCATAGCTGGAAAGTACCAGAATTCTCATTTCAAGGTCCTTACAGAGTTTTGCAAAAATGGGAGGTGATCAAGAGTTGCCTTGTGTGCTCTGAGACAGGTTCTTTGCACCATACAGACTTAGCTGCCAAAAACCTGCCTTAGAAATGCGTTTACTCAAGGCCTGTCTCCCTTTTGCCTAACTCTGTCATATTATTTCTCTGACTTCCAGAGCCCTGCAACTCAATCACACCACATAGACCACGACTATTCCTCAGCTAGCTTAACTCTGGGAGAGCTCATGGGGGTTATCACATAACCACCAATCCCAAATGCAGGCCTTGTGCCAGGCCCCTGTCATTCATTCAATAATCACAATAACTGTCTATTGTCTCCGGAGCAAGCTAAAAGGCTGGATTGCTGGGGAATGGAAAGAAGTCAGGAGCAGGCAGAGTCTGCGTTCAAATTTTATAGGATGAAAGGGAGAGTTGTTGAGTACTAACTTGGCACTAAGGTAACCCTGGGCTAGTAGCTTAGCCATCCAAGAAAACGATGATATTGATTCTACAGATGATATCTGAGCTCCCTCAAAGATGCCTGCATGAGAGATTCTCTTCTTTCTTTCATCATCCTTGATGAGCCACTATTCCAGGCAGCAGCCTGACCCAGGGAGTGGGGACATCCACAGTCGGAGGCTGCCCCTCAGTTCCTGGTCTGCGAGGCCAATCTAGGCCCTGACTTGGCCAATGGCACCGGAGGCCGTTGATCTCCCGGCCCGCAGCGCTGAGAATTGGGCGATAGGTCATCCCAGGACAACGGAGGCGGAGGCTCCAGGAAACTACAACTCCCAGGAGGCCATGAGTGCCACTGGCCTGGGCCTGGTGCATGCCGGGGCACAAAGCGGTTTCCCTGCCGCGCTTCATTGTTAAGACAGCTAATCCAGGTAGTCCGCGCGCATGCCTAGTCACGACCCAACTAGTGGGGGCTTCTTTCCTTCCTGCCGGCCTTCTCTCTTTCCGGTCTTGCGGAAGCGCTCTTTTCTCCGCCCCACCCCGCCCCCCTTCGGAGAATTTGGAGGGGGCGGAGCTTCTGGCAAGCGCGTTCCCGGGAGTGCGTACACGCGCGTTCACGGAAGACTAAAGAGGGAGGGACTACTTTGGGCGTGGAAGGCACAGAGGATAGAAGACCGCGGGAAGCGGCAGGCGCATGCGTCCTACCGGTGCTGCAGGGCTCGGGGAGTTGCGGAAGGGAGGAGGCGAGAAATGGGCTGCCGGGCAGACGCACGCGCATTGGGCCATTAGCGCCCGCCTCCCGTCCTCCACCCTCCCGGAAGTGGGCCCGCCCTCGCGCCCACCAGCGGCCACCCCCTGCGGCAGGCCCCGCCCACACAGGCCCCGCCCCCAGGCTCTCCGCCCCCTCCTCGGGTAGTGGCGCCGGGTTGCAGTCCCGGTCGTGGCGGTTCTGGTGCCCGAAGCTGGGAGCGCGGGGTCGTTCCCGAGAGAGGCGGCCGGGCTATGAGCGCTGGTTCCCGGCGTCCCGCTCCGGCCAGCCAGAGTCTCTGTCTCAGCCCGTGCCCGTGCCCGAGCAGTCTCCTCAGCCCGGCCCTGCGGCGCGGTTCGCGGCGGCGCCCCCGGCGCGCCCCCTCCTCCGATGGCGGCGGAGATCCAACCCAAGCCTCTGACCCGCAAGCCGATCCTGCTGCAGCGGGTCGAGGGGTCCCAGGAGGTGGTGAATATGGCCGTGATCGTGCCCAAGGAGGAGGGCGTCATCAGCGTCTCGGAGGACAGGTACGGACTGCTGCCCCTCGGTCGCGAGGAGGGGCGGGACGGGCCGACGGAGCCTGCGCCCGCGCCAGGGGCTGTGTCTCCACGTCGGCGCGAGTGTAGACGCGCTCCCTCAAGTTTCATTATAATGCGCATCCTGGCGGTGCCGGTGTCCCGTCGCGCGCTGCTGCCGCTGCTTGGCTGCGGGAAGCGGAGCCGGGACGCAGGGTGCGCTCCGGCCTCGCCCGGGGCTGGGTGGCGCCTGCGGGAGCCCGGTGGCGCTTGGGCTAACTGCGCGCCCGAACCGGACCTTGGTCCAGCCCTGGACACTGGAGGGAGAGAGGGAGGAGCCGACCGGCCCTGCAGGTGTGAGCCTGGGGAGGATGCTCCGAGCCGCCTCTGCTAGATAACTAAGCGTTTGTGGGTACTCCCTGGTACAGTTCTTAGGGTTCCAAACTGAGAATGCAAATGCCACTCCCTACTCCCAGACATTCTTACCGAATCCAACCTCTCCTAGACATCTTACACAGAATTCAAGGAATATTCCAAGTTGTGAAGTGTAACTTCAGGCTTGTGTGAGGTACCTTCTCTCCTTTCTCCTCCTTTTCTTATCTCTTCGAGCTCAAGGGGAAGCGCCTAGAACTTGAAACGGATCACTGCTGCAAATAGCTCTTGAGTTCCTACCCTGTGCTTGCTTCCTTTTTGCTTAATTTTGCATAATTTGCAGAAGTGGAGCTAGTTGGTCTGCCTTCAATATTTTCCCTTGTTTTCATGTTTCGCTTTAACTTGTGTGCAGAAATAGGCCGATGAAGCTAATTTCTAGAGGAATGTTGCTTAACTATAGTAGTTGTGGTCATTTGGAACGGTCACTTTGATAATATGTATAAGCTATTCTAAAAAATGTAACACTATACAGGTATATGACAAAGGGCTTTTACAGTAATTAGGTTTTCTTAATAGAAGTTCAAATAATACAGAGATAGAGAATATTCTTCCTTGGTGACTCCGAAAATTGCAGAGGTAAAGCAACAAAGTATTCATTACTGTTTATATAGTCATTTCAGCACCTGGCATATAGTGTGGTCCCTAAAATTTTGCTTGACAGGTCTGTCCATATCTCTGGTTCTTCCTAATATAACTGGAATGAGTAATTAATGACACGTTCTTGTCTATATCATGCTGGATACAAATGGTGCCTGATTCACTTCCTATGCAGATCCAATGGAAAACAGTGTAAACATACACCAATGACAAGCAGTCTGCAATGAACAGAAGAAATTCATGGCTGATGTGGGACACATGGATGTAGGAGCCTTTTGAAATTCACAGAGAAGTCTTATGCAAGAGTTTAATTTTTCTATAGAAGGAAAATTCGATTTAAAAAGACTGCTTATGGACCTAGAACTTCTTTGCACATAATTTTTTTGATGGAATATAGCCCCAAAATTATTATTGAAGGAATATATTGGTAGATGTCACTTTCCCAGTTTGTAACTACTGGCGATGGAACTGACCAATTCCTAACTGCTGTAGAAAATTGGTAAGTTCATTGAATCGGTTAAGAGAAGGAGAAAAGTAGTTAAACTTACATTTCCACTGCATTTACTTAGAAGGAAACAGCTTTACTGGAGTATATTTCAAAGTATTTGGAGAAGCTGAAGTAGTGTATATGAAAGAAACTGAAGAGTAAATTTTATTTGATTATAGGACAGAAGAAATGTTTAGCTATATTTTAGCCTAATTTTCACTTTCCTAGTTTACAATGGAAAGATATAAATCATATTACAGTTACTGTTAAATAAATAAGACCCACACATAAGTCTAGGATTACTCTTTATATATATTTTATTATTACTCAGGTTGACAAGTCTGTGTTCTTTGGATCATACATTAACTGTGGAAATAACTTTGTTATTCAGAGCTCAGTTTCAGTTAGAGCTTTTATTAAGATAATTGATCTGTATTCTTGCTTTCTACAATCCAGTATTGATGTCACTTGATATAATGCTAAAGATATGAAAATGGAATATTGATTTTAATCATGGCCTACAAAGCCATTACTATGAACTGTTTTCTGCTAGAAACTAATAATCGTTATTTCTGAACTGTAAAGTTAAGCCACAAATAATGTCCCGTACCTGAATGATGGTTCTTAGGAAGCCCTGGTTTCTTTTTTTGACCTAATAACTCCTTTATTGCCTTAATCTGTACCTTGGAAAGCACTTCACATTTGCTGTTTTTTATTTTTTGAGTTAGTCTCACTCTGTTGCCTAGGTTGGAGTGCAGTGGCACTATCATGGCTTACTGCAGCCTCCAACTCCTGAACTCAAGTAATCCTCCTCCTGAGTATAGCTGGGACTATAGGCACATGCCTTCATGCCCGGCTAATTTTTTGATTTTTTAAATTAGAGACAGGTCTTGCTATGCTGCCCGGGCTGGTCTTGAACTCCTGGGCTCAAGCAAGCCTCCCTCTTTGCCTCCCATAGTGCTGGGATTGCAGGTGTATGTCACAGTGCCCGGCCCACATTTTCTGTTATAAACAGTATATACTTCATGTCCATTTTATCTTCTCATCTGTGAGTTTCCTTTGAAGGTTTATGTGTCTTATTCATTGTATTGCTTTTAGGGCCTGACATAGTGCCTGGCACACAGTAGGCCCTCAGTAAACACTTGTTGTATCAGTGACTGTTCCTATAAACAACATCTTAACTATTGTAGATATTTAGTTGATATTTGTTGAATGAATTAGATGATGACCTTTGAAAGCCTTATGTGTACAAATATACACTTGGAAAAGTATTGGACTGGGTGGCCTTTAGAGTGCCTCAGAACGCTATAAGTTCGTGCATTGCTTCATTCATTCCATCAACAAACATTTGAGTTCTTACAGTCACGTGTATACATGTCAGTGATGAAAATAATACAGTCCTTTTCCGATGCTCACAATTTATTGGGGTGAGATCTTAGGAGAATTTTGTTTAATGAAACAGAACTACTACTTTCAAGATTTAGTATTGAAAAGAGAATTGTCACATGGGGAAGAATGGCTGAATTCCACAATCCTTATTGGCCCCTAAAATTTACCTTCCTTTGGTGGATTCTTTCTCTTGTATTATCGTTTTTACCCTCAAACTGGTCTCATAGTGAGCTGATAATATTCAAGTCTTCAAACCCAAGAATGGAAGAAAACTCTTGCCTTCAAGTTTACTTTAGCACAGTTAAGAGAAACTAGACCTTCACTTGCAATCAAAGGAGGAAATATAAGAAATATAAAAAGAGTATGATTTGTAAGTAAAGATTTCTGCTGCTGCCATAATATAAAGCCTGTTCCAGGAACTCACCGGCGTTGTTTTGAGTCTGTCTTTACTTTGGTTCTGTCACCAAAGGACACAGCAAACTTCTTGTTCCTCTTTTCCCAGCTTCTGTTTGGACTGGCCTTTCTGACTGAATACCATTTTAGCATTCCTTGCTTAAGAGCCTCTACAGACATCTCTGCTCAATTTAGCTAAATACTTATGTTTAGTCTGCAGCTTAGCAGGGCTCCTTTGTTTAGTGGCAGCCTCTTCAAGTTTTACTTGTCTGAATATACATATTCATAATTATATATTTGCACATATTCGTTTCTAGTAAGGTCTTTCACTAGGCCCAGTGAATATGATTCACTCCAGAAATCATTCTGTTCTGGAGTCAGCAGGTACTAACATTGTCCTCTGGTGTTGCCAGCGAATCTCTTCTGCTTAGGTGGTTAGAGAAGAAGACTAACAATCTCTTTTCCAAAGAGGAAAGGGCATTTTAGGTAGAGGGTGAGAGAAAACCTCCGTCCACTGGGAAGCACTGGAATGTCTCTGTTAAGGATAGACTCTGGAGCCGTCGGCCTGAGTTCAAAATTCAGCTCCAAGTTTCCACACATTTTGACGAATCAGAAAATTGGTATCTCCAGGGGGAGTAATTAGGACAGCAAAAATTACTGAACCCTTTGGGTGGAAGAATTCAGGCCTCTTTCTGGATAAAAAGGCCTGTGTGTGGTGGTGGGATGTAGGGAGGAGGCTATGGGAGAGAGCTGTACGGAGGGAAGGAAGGTGCTGGAGAGAGGATTGGGGGAGCTGCTTTCTTACATTCTGATTTTATTCAGGACCCATTTATGGAGTACAGTTAGCTGTCTTCCCGGTAAGCCCTGAGGGAGAGCCCTTGCAATTGATTGGTAAGAGTGGGGTCAGATATTTTATCAGGAAATCTTATGTCCAAAGCCCAGCACAAAGAGGATATGCAATATATGTTCCTTAAATGAATTAAGCAATAGCTGGTGATCACCTATTTGAATTGGAATGGGCCTCAGGTGTTGTAATTTTCCCTGAGCAAAGGTCATTGAAGCCCCAGAGAAATTTAGCTGCCAGCTTTAGGCCAAGGTAACAATACCACCTGGAGTGGGAGTGGGAATGGTCTGGGACAAAAGAGGGATTGGGATTTTTTAAATCTAGAGGGGCTTCCCCCCCAACTCTAAATTATGTAAATCTATTTTTTTTTTTGAGTTGTAGTCTCACTCTGTTGCCCAGGCTGGAGTGCGGTGGCAAGCTTGCGGCCATTGCAGCCTCGACCTGCTGGATTCAGGCGATCCTTCTGTCTCAGCCTTCCAAGTAACTGGAACTACAGGTACGCACCACCATGCCCGGCTAAATTTTTTTATTTATTGTAGAGATGAGACCTTGCCAAGTTGACCAGGCTGGTCTTGAACCCCTGGGCTCAGGCAGTCCTCTAGCCTCTGCCTCCCGAAGTGCTGAAATTACAGTCATGAGCCAACGTGCCTGGCTTGAATTATGTAATTCTAAATGGCCATAACTACTTGACTGTTTCTTGAAAAAATATATTAAAATTTCATTTCATCTTATAAATCCTCATAGTGCATTTACCATTTGTTGTTTTCATTGTGAAAGTGCATTGTCAGTTCTCTGCTTCAACAATTAGTTTCACTAATAATTAGACCTTGTCTCAGTTCAGTTGAGCTCTGGATAGAGTTTTATGTACCA